TAGAGAAGAGTAATCGATCAGTAAATGCCTTTTGCGAAGCAGTTTTAGTCTTTAAGATACCTTCAACACACTCTGATACCTGTCATTGTCACTGACTGACTGGCGTCCTCTGATCTGTTAGAAGGTTCTGTACGAACAGCGGATTACCTGTCGGCAAACAGTCGGAAACTGTACGAACAGGTAACATCTTTCTAATTTTGATTTTGACAATCACCGACAAGTTACCGGCTATATACTGTACGAACAAACCATGTATGTAGATCCAAGCACGATCACAAGTATCCTCAGAAAGAAACAAATTAAATGCGAAGTGTCAAGAACTGTCAAACTGGCGGCTTAAGTCAATCGCGTGATTGTCCTTCTACTTAGTCCGTTCGTTGATTGGTACCTGAAGCCTGCTTCGGATCAAGCGATTTCAGCGCCAGGGCTGAAGATTACTTACAATGTGGTATAGAAGCATCAGATTGGATGCAGAGATCTAGTTACAGTTATTCGAACGATGTTTGAATTTTGAATATTCGCCCCATGAAGTTTAGATATAGGAGATTAAACGGCATAAGGGAGACACGTATGAAGCCAATACTGGTGCGCATGTATACACATGAAGGTGAAAAAGAGAGAAAGAAATACAAGCATGAGAGAGATGCCACATGCACCGGACATGAAATAGCCCACATTCGTTTTCGATACTTTTGACTCCACCCCCACTTTTTGATTTTACCCTTCTTTATCTAATGTTCATGGTTAGCCCACTGATTAATCTTCCAGTTCGCCTTTACAGATTAACAGGTACAATCACAGCTATTAAAAATAATATGGTAATGGGGGCACAGTATTATACTTAGAGTGTGGGTAACTGTTGGATCAGTTAGTAATTCTTGAATATGAGAGCAACTTATCCTAAAATTATGAAATCGTACATATGCCTGCCCTGATGCCGGATATGATGGTTGAACTCCATAAGGTTCATAATCCCTCATAAATAGTTCCTAACTGTACCGATCAAGTCTGCAGGGTCCTGGTGACTGCTGTCTTTCAAGAGAGAAAGGGTGGCAATTAGAAATTGTATGAAGCATGTCAAGAAGGTCGAAAATAGTTACCGGTCTTCGATAACAGTCGATCCTGTCTCAACAGCTTTGAGAGCGACATCGACTGGATAATCTAGCTGGCAAGAAATGGTTTTTCTGAAGATTTGAACCGAAAACCATTGGCGCTTTCTCGGCAACATTCTAGTACATGTAACATCCAGAAGAATAACAATCTTATCCGACAGCCAGGCTGCAATGAGAGCACTAAGTGCATGTAAGATTACTTCGAGTCTTGTATTGCAATGCAGGGAGGCTCTGGATTGCCTCGCAGCGAGGCATCCGGTATCGTTAATATGGGTACCGGGGCACGCTGGGATAAGGGGCAATGAGACGGCGGACACTCTGGCGAAAACAGGATCAGCGAGCAAGCTCGTTGGTCCTGAGCCAGCTCTAGGAGTAACCGCGCATAAAGCTAGGAGGAAAATGGAGACGTGGGTTGCAAGACAACACTCTCAGAAATGGAGAAGTATCTCTAGACATCTCCGCCAGGCACGAGAGCTCATTGAAGGGCCCAGTGCTAAGGATGGACGCTTCTGCCTATCTCTGGGTAGAGCCAACCTAAGGTTGCTGGTGGGACTGTTGTCTGGCCATAACACGTTAAGGCGGCACCTGCACGTGATGGGGGTGGCTGAGGATCCCTTGTGCGAACGCTGCGGAGTAGAGGAAGAGACCTCGGCGCACGTTTTGTGTCGCTGTGAAGCTCTGAGCTACTATAGGCAGACTATACTGGGGTCCATTACTTTGGACCCTCAGGACGTAAAGGAGCTTGGACTCAAGGCGATTCTCAACTTCGCTAAAAGGGCGAGGCTTGTGATTTAAGTATTGTAGAAGTGCATAAGGGCCCGCTTAAGCGGCCTATGCACTGGCTCCTTATGGTGGCCGGGATGCCTCTAAAATTCAAGATTCATTCATTCAACATCCAGCGGAGTTAAAAAAAAAATACTTTTGTCTATAATTTCACGAGTGTGCAGCTAATCTAGCTGATGAGGTATGGTTTGGCGACGAGTTAGCCCAAAACTAATGTTTTACCTGAATGCTCCAACGTCTTAATATACAGTTCCTGTTATCAATTAATCCGTGTAATTTACACATCTACGGACTTTCCCTTTTGATACGTTTAATGACAAAGCTGAAAGATTATGTACATCTAATGACAGTGCAGAGCTAAAGCTGATGACTGAGTTTGTCAGGTGCGGTTAGCCACCTCCACTATATGAAACTGCGGTTCCCAGCACATTTACAACAAGCGCTGCAAAAAGATGCTCGAAGCCAAAACCGAGTTAAACACACACATTGATCAATATAACATAAATTATTCGAAACTTGTTGATCATTCATTACCCAAATATTAAAAAGAATAATTCTTGGGTGCCGATGAAATTATTAATAGAATCCATTTCCGAACATTACTTGGTTCTTTCTAGACCAAGACTGTACATTCCTCAGCACACTTCATTTGAATACTTGACCCCTGGTACTTACGTTTATGAAGGATTGGAAAGGTGATGAGTCTCATGAATATCGAAATGAGTCTCAAACTTTTGTACCAAGCATACACAATCAGTGCAGCCCAAAACACCGCACGTGCGGGCTGGATCTTGAAAAACTCGCCAATACATAATTCATACTCAGCCTCACAAACGAATATCGGTTTGTATATATGGGCACGCGCTTGCTGCTTTTTTCCCTTGTAGGTTTTTTGATTGTCGCAGAAAGGCACATGCCTTATTTGGCCTGGGACACTACGATGTCACTGCAAAAACGCCCTAAAAGAAGGACCTTTTAGAAGAGATGGGACGCAGTATATGCATTCTTTTTGCATTCCGAAACCAACACGAAGATAAAACGATTAGGCCATACATGGAAGCAAACTAACGTTGCTTTGGTAGTTATTTCTCTTTATTCATATGTAATTGTAGTAATTGCTGTTTAGTTGCCAATAATTCTGAGATCTAGAATGTTTGGTGCAATTAAAAGGCGTTCTACTACTTCTACTACTTAACATAACGTAAAATTAATCTTAATCTTTGAACTGACAACGTTGCGCGGGGGTACAGGATCAGCACCACTGACATCATTTTTTACGTATCTGGAACTGCAAATTATCTAAGTAAAGTAGTGTGACCTGCACTGCGACACTAAGCGAATCGAGATCTCATTTGAGAACGTCAAGTGTGACACACCGCTTCCCTTCCCGTCGCTACAGTGCGTGGGTAATCATGTCATCGTGTCTAAAAGATGTTGCTTCTTTGCTCCTCAACAGGCATTCACCTTTAGGTTAGAGTTTCTTTTTGTAACGTGAAAATCAAAAATGGGTAATTTTTTATAAATTCCTGAAACTTACTCTGTGCTTGTCTACCTGATTTATCTCCATATTGTGGCTACTCAACGAAACGATATACTATTCGTCATTTATTTGTCTGGGCGGTCCGTAGGACCTTTGCCCATTAGTCACTGTCTGATGTACGTTAGTCGAATCTGTCAGTCCTGGTTGCCCAGAAACCAGACAAAGTCTAGGAAAAAGAGAAAGGGAAAGAGAAAAAAGGAGAAGAACAAAGAAAAACAGATATGCTTAGGTTAAGAGGAAACCCCTAGGCTTTTTGACTTGGTACACGGATTAATTTTGAGGTGAACTAAACAAATTTTTTGATTCGGTTTTGTTAGATTGTAATTTTGAGTTTACTAAAGATTCACGCTAACTTTTGATTACAGTGCGAGCCGTGGCCTTGAATGTTTACGAACTTGCTCCACTGTGTAGTCCACTGAGTCACGCAACAGAGGGTTGCTGTGCGATTCCGCTTGAACGAAACGATGTTGAATGATTTGTTTATTGACGTTTCTACTATGATGTATTTAGCAGTCAGGCAACACAACATGTAGACGAATTTATTGAATATTTTACTTCTGATGTCAAATACGAGAGGATCTTTGAAGAAGATTCGAAATCAGGATGTAATTTTTGGATACTTTATAATCATCAAAAAGAAGACCTACGTCATAACCTTGAGGTATGGAATGAGGAACTCAGAAAATATAAACTGAAAATAAATATGAACAAAGCAAAATGTATGAGTATTTCTAAGGACCCAGAAAACATAGAATTCCGATTAGGACAACAAATATTACAATTTAGATATTTAGGAATAATGGCAACAGAGGATGGAAAGGTTGAGGCAGAAATAGAAGATAGAATAAAAGCAACTACAAGATTATACTTCCAACTAAATAAACATCTATTTAACAAAAAAAGAAAAAATCTACAATAACAAAAATAAGAATGTTCAACTCACTGCATATTCCTTCAATAACATATGGTTGAGAACTGTGGATATTGAGTAAAAGACAGGGACAGAAAATACAAGCAAGTGAAATGAAATTGCTAAGAAGAATTGCGGGTCTGAAGATTATGGACTAAGAAAGAAATGTAGAAATAATAATATCATATCTGTAGAAAAAATAATACGAATGCGCTAAGGTGGTTTGGACATATGAATGCCAAATACACGATTCGCAAAAAGGGTCTGGGAAATGGGAAAATTCAAGAAAAAGATGAAAGCAAGACCAAGAATAGGAGTTCCCAACCAGGGGGATGCGCCTCCCAGGGGGGCATAGAGAGATGTCAAGGGGGGCGGAAAGCGTTTGCATTTTAGAAAAACGAAAAACAAATGAACAAACAACAATAAAAAAATAACATTACAATGTAATGTTTAATCTCCACGCATAAAATTAGAAATTAAATATCATATTCTCTCCTTCTGTCAACCGCTGTTTCAAAACATGACGTCGTCAATCGCAGTTTATACAACTTTCGACAAGTCACAACATGAAATCCGCGTGCACCCCCGCCGCGCTCCGCTTAACAATCATCACTTAGAAAACAATTGTGTACCTACCAGACGCGGATGAGTATCTGTGACATTAATTCCCACAAACTTGCGAAAAATTTAACGTTTCGATGTACATGTTTTGTTGAGAAATCTGTTTGAGTGTGTCAAATTATTGTGTCTCACTGTTAAAAAGTAAGCTTGTGTATTTACAAACTCCAGTTACCATTATTCATTTAATTTACTAAATTGTTGATTGACTGGAGACGCGTTTATAGATCGGCCAGGACTTTTTGACCACATCACAATCAAACCAACGTGGCGAAATAATTTTGAAACGACGAACTTTAAGTACCTAATATTGATTCCAAATGAGCATGTAATTAGTAATTACGAGTAGGTATTTTGCTTATTTATTTACTACTTATTTGTTTTATTGTTATAGGTGCAAAATGGCAGTGAAAAAAAAGAAAGTTTTCCGAAGATTACGTGAAGCGTGGATTTACCTTCATAGAAAAAGACGAGTTACAATTGCCTCAGTGTGTGATATTTATGAAAGTTTTAAGTAATTATAGTATGAGGCCCAATCGCCTTGAAAGGCATTTGAAGCAACAAAATCCTACTCTAGTTTTGAAGACGAAAGAGTTTTTTTCTTCTAAAGCAGAATCAATCAAGCGAATGAGACTGGATAAGTCGGGAAGTTATCACGCAGGTGTATCGCAGCATCTCAAAGCTTCATTTCAAATAGCTTTTATGATAGCAAAGCAAAAGAAACCTCATACTATCGGTGAAGAATTAATAAAACCATGTGTTCTAAAAGCCATGCAGAGGAGAAGATACAGAACAAAAACTTAAGTCTATTTCTCTTTCGAATAACACAGTCAAGCATAGAATGGATGACACTGTAGCAGACATAAAGTCACAAATAACTAACAAAGTAAAATCATCGCCATTTTTTGCCATTGGTTGCGACGAATCCACCCACATCGTTAATTAGGAAGTTTCCTATAGTCGAAAATACTGCCTGTATTACTTGCATCTGATAGTATAACTAGTATCTTTGACAAATCTGAAAGAATTATTCCAATAACTTTAAATTTAAGGAAGTTATGGCATTTTCTGTGTTGGCTGCTGTAGCCGATAGGCCTCGCGCATCGAGGTTCGGTAGCGACGTCACATGACATAACGTCACGCGTCGGTAGTGAAGAGGTCGGACGACAAGACGGCATATCGCATACATCCTTAGCGCACAAGCTGACAAGACGTAATTTATTGTTTGAATCTTGGCGTAGACTGTTGTATGGTATTATATAATAATTAAAATGGAAGAAGGTTTTTTACGTGCCGATTCCACAAATCTTTTGAAGGTGGACATAATAATGGTAATGAATTTCTTCACAAACAATCCACTTTATGTCAGTACGGAAATACCTAAGTAAGTAAATAGTATAATCTATTCTATACAACTCTGATAACGTGAACCCATTTTTTCATTGCCTGCGACTATACCATACTGTGCACTTATCAACTTTACGTAGGACGCCTGGTGTCAGTGGCGGGGTATTATGGATGATCTTATTTGGCTTTATTAATTTTATAAATAGAAGAAAATGAAAACATGCTCTGCAAGCATCAAATAATTTAAGATGACCCAAACTCCAGCGAATACGTTTGATAAATAATAAATTTAATATCGCGCAGTGACCAGAAAATTAACTGTTTGAACTGAAATCTAATCCAACGCCAATAGGACTTGATGGCCACCCGGTATTGACTCACAGCAATTTAATAATCGTTTCGTAACAATTCACGATGTCCATTTGTTAACCAGGAGTAGAATCAATGATTCGTCATTCATTTTCTCTGTGTTGTAAAAGCCAAGATTACGCCCGAACATACAGTTAAAAGAAAACTGTATCATTGCAGTTTTGCATGCGACGAAAATGAGGAAACAGTAAGTAATCAAGCTAGAATGCAGTGGTTTTACTGCACAAGAGGGTGGCTGTAAGCAAGGTGTAGCACTATTAATGTGACTGCACAGCAGAAGCGAAGAACCACCATGCACTTCCGTGAAGTGCTACTGGATAAATGCCAGATTATCTACTATTGGCAGTAATCTGAAATTCATAGAAGCCTCTCAGATGATTACACATTAAGCCCACACTTGACCGACGCCTGTGCAGCGCCGCGTCGACGCAAACAAGCTTTAAGCAGTGTTCTTCCCCATACAGCCACAAGTTGATCACTATACAAATACTCACATCTCGAAATGAAAGCAATGATCAAATCTATTTCTGTTCTCCTTTAAACCATTTAGATTCTTTACCTTATCATACGAGGCATACAGACTAATACTAATAATAATTCCAATAATTACATCAAAATGGGATTCACAGCAAAACAACGTTGATTCTTCCGACAACGGCAATTTATCGACCCTATTCATTACCTTGCACCACTTCTTTCTAATATTAAAAAATGTTATATTGAGCTGATATATGTACAAGTAGATACAATAAAATATTTGTAGGTTGAAGGTTTGACCCACTTTTTACTCATTGTTAATAATAGGGGGAAGCGTGTGTGGCGCGGCACGGCGGGCGCATCTCCTTGCAGTGGTGCTGGGCTGATAAACTTCCGTCATGTGACGTCATCACTCACTCGCACGGCCCACCACACGATACTCCAAATAATATAGTTCTGACTAGCGTAACATTGTTATTTTCCAAGATATTCAAAAAAATAAGTCGGCGCTGTACTTCATTTTACTTAGACTATCATTTTGGGTCTCTTGAAAAATAGGAACTTCCTCATTGTGCACAGTTAATAGTTTATGTTCGTTACATCGGCGGAGATATCATTCAAGAAGGGTTTTTGTTCTCCCAATCTTTGACACCAGGTACTAACATACATCTGAAGATATATTTAATTCAATATCAAATTTTGTAGAAAAAAATGATTTGGATTGGAAGAAACTCATTGGACTTTGCACAGATGGCGCACCTGCAATGATAGTTGTACGATCGGGCTTAGCTAAAAAACTCAAGGAAAAAAATTCCGCAATGGTTAGTACACATTGTGTTATTCATCGGCAAGCTTTGACTTCCAAAAGATTGCCACAGAAATTACGCCAGATTTTGAACTCGGCTATAAGGTTTGTAAACTACATCAAGAGCAGCGCTTCGAACAGTCGGTTATTTACTTTACTTTGCGAGGATCTCGATTCTCATCTTAAAGTTCAAAGGCAACATGTTGGCTCGCCTTTATGAATTGAAAGAAGAGGTAATTCTTTTCCTTGAGTTCAAAGAAAAACACGATTTCTTGACAATGTTCAAAGATGACAAATTTATTTAACTGACATATTTGACTCCTTGAATGAGCTAAACTTGAAACTTCAGGGCAGAAACAACACTATAATAAGCAATTATGATTCAGGTGTTCATATTAAAGCTTCAACTTTGGAATCAAAAGGTGTCTTCTGAAAATGTTATATCTTTTTCTCGGCTGTTCGAGGCAATTAAAAATAACACACTGGACGCAAATTTAAAAGCACTGGAAGACGAATTTCGCCGATACTATCGAGACATCAATTCAGAGTCACCAATATGGCACATGACAAGCAATCTATTTGTTGTCGATGTGTCACAATTACCAGAAGAAGTTCAGGAAGAATTTCTAGAAATGAAGGCTGATTCGTCCATGAAAGATGACATCTTTTAACATTGGGGAAATTTTGGATCAAAAGATTGCCTGTTAATTCGACACTTGCCTCTCTTGCTTTACGAATACTAGTTCCTTTTTCTTCAACTTACTTATATCAGACAGGCTTTTCTGATCTAGTTTTAATTAAAACTAAACAGCGAAATCGTCTTGATGTCGATAGCGACCTGATCATAGCTCTGGCAAAAACAGAACCTAGAATCAACCAACTGGTACAGAACATGCAATCTCAAGTGTCTCACTAGTACCTACTCTTATTTTATTCAAGTTTTTCGATAAGAAACATTTATTAGTTTATTTAAACTTTTAAAGTTTCATTTATTATAACTAAAATAAAAGTCTTTGTACCCATATAATGTGCGTTTCTTTGTATTTGTTGAAAAAGTAAAGGGGGGCATGAAAATATAATTTATAGTCCGGAGAGCCTCAATAAAAAAAAGCAAAAGGATTAGCTAAAGACAGAACAAAATGGGGAAAGAAAATAAGAGAAAACTGAAGAATTATAGAAATATATCAACCTCTACACTAGCTAGATGCGGTAGAAGTGAAACAAATTAAGTAGGTATAATCATGTCATTCGTTTTGTCTATTAATACCTACCAATAGCTACCCCCGCAGGCTTAAAAAAATGGAACATGGTCTTCCCCTATTTTATCAAACTACTCGAATTCTAGTTATCCCCTATGATAATACCCTGCTGCCTGACCACCATTAGCCGAAAGTAATGACTTGCTACCTTAATTAAAAAAGCATTATTACCAGGCGCTGCAATTTTCATGTCACTTGAGGTATGGAATCAAGCATCTCTCAATTTCTTTGAGCGAATAGTGCGAACCAGTTGCAATAAATCAAAGCTTTTGCAATTATTTTTTGTTTTTAATACGTATTTTAGCATTATAATCGCTAGTATACAGGGTACTCGGAAGGTCGATACAAACTTTTTAGAGGGTAATAGTATAGTTGGAACACAACCAGCCACATATACCTTAGTCCAAGAAATACCAGAAAGAAACCAAAATCATAATCGACCGTCGCTTATCCAGCAATTCATTAGAACTGCTGTTTTTTAATACATCTTCGTGTACCGTTTCTCTATGCAAGTATGTTTCTAAGTTACAAGAAACATGGCGCCAACGTGGTAAAAGATAAGTTTGGTTTTCAGGCTCGCTCGATTTTGCAGTGCGTTATGGCTTCCTTAATGAATTTACGGGAAATTTTCGCAACAACGTAATTTGGAAAAATTTGAAAATAAAAGATATTTCTCGTGAAATAAAACTCATCATCCACTCAATGACAAAGTGTAAACCGCTGCTTTTTATGTATTTTATCACATTTGTATCGTATCCCTGCTGTAGTAGTCAGTTTACGTGGTTCGGTTCCACAGTACCTTGTAGCTTATCTAAAGATTCTGTGGAAATATATGGCAACTTTGAAAATTAAAAGTTTTGAAACAATTGAAAATTAATGTACAGAAATAAAATTAATAATTTCAAGAAACCTTGCAAGCCTCAAGAGCAAACGACACATCCAGGTATACCGTGATTCACTATCTATTTTTAAATTGTAGACACTAGTCGTGAAGCTTATGATAAAGCATCAGAATCATCCACTTTTTATTGTCAATGTGTGAACCAGTATTTCTGATGCATTTTTATGTCCTCCCTGTTGATCTCTCTTGTATTTTTTGAAGGTTGCTATTTTGTCCTTAGAAGATTTTTGAAGAATTGTTTCATTTCAAATATACAGGGCACAGGAAGTTTTAGAAAATTGCAGTTCTGATTAGCAGCAGTCACATGTGAAGCTTGTATATAGAAAAGGTGGTCATAACAATTACCTTGACAAGTCTCTAATCTCCTCTTCATAAAATTCCGTTTTCTAATACGCTAGGGTAGTTTTTTATCCAGTTATATCCCAAAATAAACCATTTTATTAATGTTTTATGTAAACTAAAAACTGGACATAATTGGATAAGGAATGGCCTTGATGTATTCGACAAGTTCAGCAGTATATGACGAGAAGTTGGCTTTGCATCCTTGGTAGATTTACCAAGTGATTTTGAAAGATATCAAAATTCAAAAGAGCACCTAGGAATCTCTACAGGGTGGCAAATCCATGTGGGGACGGGACACTGCTTCTAAATAAAAACTTTCCAAATAAAAATATTTTTGTATTATAATACATAATACATAGATACTTTTGTCAGTTCTTCCAACCACACAAGCACCACCTAGCGGGAGCAAAATCATGGCCGCCA